AATGAATTCATCGTTACAACAAACAATTACAAACATTCAAACAGCTGCAAAAGGTAATAATAATAATAATTAGTAATAGTAGTAACAGTGATAAAACACCCAAAATTCTATCATAATCTATTTCGGATACTATTGTAAAATGATTCAAACAATTTAATCTATTTGTTAAAGTTTCAAAAAACATTACCTAAGAAAATTAGCTGAAAAAAGCCGACTTAACAGTTGCAGTGATATTTTTACAGTATGGCAGTGAATTAAAGATATTAGGAAAAAATTTTACTAATTAAGTTTGAAATTTTTGGTATCTCTTCTTATTTCATTGTTTCGTTTCATTGAATTATATTATAATTGAATTTACTAAGAAATTATACTTTTAATTAAAGTACGTATATGTGTTTTCCATTTTTTTTAACAGGTGAATCAATGCAAACAGTTAAAAAAGGAGGTCGTAGACGTTTAAATGAAAATGCATGTGGAAATTTGGCGAATAATACGCCTGAAACTTTGGCACCAAAAAAACGTGGAAGAAAACGTAAAGATGGCAGTAATGATATTATTGGTGGAAAAACGAAAGATACTTTACAGGAAGTAATAAAATAAAAAAGTTCTATAAAAAAAGAATTTTCAACTTAGATAAGTAAAAAGTAAAAATATGTAAGTAAAATAAAAAGATGGGAAGACAATGTTAAACAAAATTATGTAAAATCAATTCATAAAAAATATGCAAAAAATAATTATTGCATTTTACGAAATATAAACAATATTTTATGCCATATAAATGTTAGAAAAATATTTCATATTTTAATTTGAATTTTCATTACTAATCAATATATGTTATTATCATGTTTTCAAGATCAATAATTAAGAAAAACCATGTTGATTTCATTTTTAGAACATATTCATTGATTATAATTAACAAATTGAAAAAATATTAGCCAAGTTTAAGTATGTTCCACTCAATAGCAAACAAATATTCTGCTACTAACTTATTGATGTATATTTTAAAATTTTTCACAAAATAATTCATAATTTTGGCTAATAGAATTAAAAAAAAAAATGAGAATAAAACCAATAATTCATACTTTTTATTATCACAGTGAAAAATTTGCTTATGGTAAGTCAATATTGTGTTTTTTTAAACTTTAATTACTTCATGCTAACATAATATTTAAGGCTTCTCGTCAATCGATCAATGCTAGTAAATTGGAAAATAGTGAAATGAATATTGACAAAGCTCAGAGTAATGAAATTTTATTAATTTCAAGTTTTTTTTTTTTATTTCTAATATCTACACTAACATCATAGTTAAAGAGTTTAAATCATAAAATAAAATATATCACTTCAAATATTTATATGCTATGCTTGTTCACATATTAATTAAACCACCTAATTATGATTATAACATTTCAGTTAACATTATTTCACATTAATTATTTGGCAAAAAAAAAAAGAAAATGTAACGAACTTTGCAGAGCGAAATTCTGAAATTTCAAATCAATCACTAAATGCAGTTGCGGAATTAGAAAACGTTAATGCGGAAGAAAAAAAGAAGAGAAGACGTCCTCGTAAGAAAATCGGCGAAAAATCTGATGAAACGATTGATAATACGACAAATGATACGGTCATTTATGAAACTCAGAATCAAAATTTAATGATTTATATGTTTTATTATTGTTTAATGTTATAAAGTTTTAAATTTGCAACAAGTAAAAAAGCTTTTTTTCAAAAAAAAAAAATTCTTCTCCATTTTTATTTAAACATAAAATTATGCAAATTCCTTAATTTACAGAAAAATTTTAATTTTAGAAGAAACACGGTTCAATAACCAAGAAATCATCAGCTGCAAAGAAAGAAAACATGGAAGAATTGCTATGTAAACAAAAAAGTCGTATGGCATTTCCAGTATGAGATTTTAAAATTATGACAGTTATTGAAATTTGTCAAATGTGTATGTTCTCAAATCAAATATGTTCTTTTTTAGTTTACTTAACTTGAGAGTAATTATTATTTCATAAGTCTTTTCCGGAAATAATATTGTAAATGTTATTTTAGAAAGGTACTTTTCTAATTCGATACTGCGATTTGGAAACATTGGACTGTGATCAAATTTGGTGTGTAGACAATCATCATATGCTGCTCAAATATCGCCTTTCTTCACATATTGAAGGAAAACGTCGTCTGTATTTGAAATCTCAACCTGAACGAGTAAATTTCGAATGGTTGAATGAAATTATTAAAATGCGAACAAAAATTTATGTATACTAAAATTTAGCTAAAATATTTATGTTGTGCAGCATTCAGTTTATGATAATTAATATTATATTTTTAGTTCATTGGTTGGAAATGTGAGGAACCGTGGCATTTTTATGAATTGACGATTCTTGAACGTGATCGTGACGGCAGCAAAGTATTGGTACTGTATCCGGATGCCAAAGAATTAGCGGAATGTCGTGAAAAAGCAAGACGTCAGAAGCAAATTGCGGAAGAAATGAAACGAGGTTTGGGGACGTCACGTAATTCCGGTGATATCAAAGAAGATTTCAATGTAACAGAAGAAAATCTAATAAAACAAACGGTCAATTTTTTTTAACTTTCTTTTACCTAAGAGTATTTCTTTCAATTACTTAATTACTAATTAACGTCAGAATAGGAACAGTAATGTAATGTAATAATAATAATAATGATAATAATAAACAAATAAATAGTTAGAAGTAATAGAGATTTATATTACTTTTTTTAATTATTATTATTATTTTTTCTTTGAGAGAGATATGATTGTAAAGAAAATAAAAAAGCAAGATAATAAAGAATTAAATTTTCAAAATTTTTAGGATATTAAAGATCGACTTTTGCATAAAGAGGGGAATATGGAAGTTGAAATGGTTGATGAAGCAGAAAAAGCAGTTGAGCGTTTCATTCTGATTCCGGATAATGAATACACTGAAACAAATGATGAACATTCTGGAGAGGGATTTAGTATCGAAAATCCTATGGAAGAAGAGATTATCGTTACAGAAGACGAAGAAGATGAATAATAATATTAATTTTTTGTTTCATAATTATCTGCAATAAAAATTTTTTTTTGTTTACTTCTCTTCTTCAATTATTCTAATTAGTAATTGTATTTAAATGAATTATTACATTTAAAATGCAGATGTATATTATAAGGTAGTAATAAGGACGAATTATAAATATATGCTATATTTCTTTAAAAAAAAGATTAGTTCTTATCATTAAATATATTTTGATTAACAAAAATCAAAATTTTTTCTGTTCTTAAAAGTAATTTAAATTTAGGGAATGAAACAAAAAGAAAAAACGCCGCTTGTTTAAATGCTTTCTTATTTCTTTAATTTCTTCCGCCTTACAATGACGCAATAAATTTAAGTAACAAAGTGCTGCAAATATAATTCACCAAAAATTTAATTCTTTATTATCGTACAGAAGTTTAAATTATGGATGATTTATTTCAAATAAAAATTTTTGTTGGTATCAGAATAATCACGTGTAATGAAGTGGTTCGAGTAATATATTAAATATAAGATAATAACTTTTCTTTTTCTAATTAGGATAGATTAAATTATCAGTTTTTTCATGTTAATAATCCATGAAGGACTTGGATTAAATGATGGAATTTACCATATTTTGAAAAAAGAATGATTTACTGATATATGCATAACACATGGATAATTTGATATGAGTAAGATAAGATGTAAAATAAAAGTTTAAACTTTTAAGGCTTTTTTTCTAGATTAGATTAGACCGAATCAGTAATGCATTTTCATAACAATACTGAATCAATAATACATCCTTACAATTATCAATACTTTCCGGTTTTCTTAATCTTATCATCCTATCTGTCAGAAAGAAGACAAAAGAAATTGGTGGCAAAGTGGGAAAATGAGTAGCTAACTCTTTTTAAGTGTACTAATGGGATGATATTAGATAATATACTTCAAATCTAATTTCTGAGGATTTTTTTCTAGATTAGATTAAACCAGATCAATAATACATTCTGATTTTTTTTTGTAATTTTTTTTTTTTCAATATGATTCCAAAAACTTTTTTAACTATCATATTAGTTAACAATTATTAATCTGAGGAATATACTAATGAAATATAATGCAATACAGTACACTATGATACAGTACGAAATGATACAGTATAATACCGTATGATAGGAGAAGATATGATATGATATCATGCGGTATAATTAAATTGATAAAGTTTATTACTGCTTTCAATAGTGTGAAAATCACTAATATACGAAGTGCGACTTAAAAAGGATTACTACTTTTATGCCGCGAAGATTATTTTATTAAATTTTATGGTGGGGAAATTTTTTTATTGTATTATACGGCGAGGATTATTTTATTTCATTATATGACAGGGATTATTTTTTTATTATTGTTTGAATAGAAATTATGCATATAAATAGAATGTACGTTTGTTCAAAGTTGCTAGAAAATATTTAACTTTGATTTATATAACTAATTTTTTTGTAAATAAATATTAGTTACTATATAGTAAACCATTAATTATAGCAGTTTTGTAAATGTTTTTTTTTTTTTTAAAAAAAAGACACTCTAGGTTTATCAGATTTAATTTTTTCCTTCTTTTCATTAACTATACAAAACTTGATTGCTAATTTAATAATCAAATTGCAAAAATTTTAGTGAATTCTTCCAGAAAAAAAAAAACTAAAGAATTTTTGGCTAATAAAATTTTATTATCGCTATGCTTTTATTTCATTTTTTGCGAACAAGAAAACAGAAATAAAAATTAAGTGAGAAGCATATTAATCAAAATTTTTATTTTCTTTCCTTTTGTGATTATTCAGATTCTTTCGTTCATTTTAAATCCATTTCTGTTTCTTTTTTTTTTTTTTTCAAATTTAGTTCTTTTTTCTTGAAATCCAACTGCTTTTTGTTTTTTCTTTTTTCAGGATTATGTGGTCGTTTTCTTTCCTAGTATATTCAATTTTGACATTCATAACAGTGATGATGTTAAGAGGTAAGATAATTTTACTCTTTCTTTCTCGTTTTAAATAATATATAATTAATACTTCATGTTAAAATGATTTTATTTTATGATAAAGAAATAATAAGAAAAAGCTTTTAATATTATTATCATAAAAAAATATTAAAAATATTATCACTTCCGATCATCGTAAAAATTATCATTAAAAAATTACTTCCTACTATTTAAAATGTTTTTTCTTTTTAATTTAAAAGATTTTTATTTGAAATGGTAATTACCATTAAACATTTGATGCATATCTTTAGAGAGAAAAAAAAATAAAGGAAAATTATTAGAAGGTGAATATTTATCAGTAATATGAAAAATATCAATAATTACATTATCAGTGTAAAACATCGATTTTACCAGCGACATACAAAATATTGGCAATTATCAGTGACTTGTAAAATATCGATAGCTATGTTATCAGTGATGATTACTTTATCAATCGTTAACATTTTTAACAATGACCTTCAAAGCACTGTGGCAGATCTTTGTTACTATTTAGCTGCCAATATCATAGATATGAATGCAATAAACTGAAAATTTGCATAAATAATTTCTTTCGTTCATCTTTTTGATTCATTCATTTTCGTTTTCATTCGTCTCAGTAAAAATTTCTATTTGAAGAAAATTTCGATTCCATCGAAGAATTTACATCAGATATTTCTCCAACCACTACTATATGGGTATGTCATATTTTTAATTACAGATGTTTATAAATTTTTTTTTTTTATAAATATTACTCATTTTGATCAAAACCATATGAAGCATAATGTTTTTAAATCATTGAAATAATTTTAAATTTCATAGGTGCAATATTTTTTAATGAGTCATATAACACTTTTAATAAAAATAAACTTTATATAAATAGTTCAGAAGTAAAAAAAAAATGAATGAATAACTACAGAAAGATAATGGAAATGGAAAAAAGTTATTGCATAATAAAGAAATTGGAATGTTTAATGATAATTGCAACAAAGGAATGAATATGGAAGGTATTCTGAAACCTGTGGAAAATATACTTTTCGAATTTGTGCGCTTTAAAATTGCAATTATTTTCATTGTTACTTTTCTTTTTTCCCCGTTTATTTATTTGCATTCGATTATTGCATCTGACAGAAATGATTTATCGAGAAAAAAAAAAGAGAAAGAAAATGGTTTACTTAAGAATACAAGAAAAAAATTAGCTAGGAGAATGGAAAATTTATGGAATAAATAAGATATGATTTTCTTTTTTTTGCACCATAAATTTTTATTTTTTATTAAACAGACTGAAAGTTATGGAATTGGATTGAATTAATTAAGCTAGTCGATTGAAAGTTGGATAAATATATATATATATATATATGAATTTTTCTGTGTAAAAAAAAGTTCTACTTGTTTCTACTTGTTAAATCAATTTTCAGTTTCAACATCGTTATGTGTCTTCGGGTGAGACCGATCGATTTTTAGTTGAAATGAAAATTATCAATGGATTTAGCTAAGTTTTATGGTCAGGAAAGCACAAAAAAAAGTAAGAAATTAATGTGATCATTCCAGTTATTTTATAATTAAAAATATAATATTTTACAATAACAGAAAGAAAGGTATGCCATAAATATGAAATAATTCAAATCAAAAAAAAAAAAAAATTTCGATTTTGGATTTTAACCTATTTTAAATAAAGTGAACGTCAAAATACTGTATTATTTTGCAGTGCAAAATTGAAAATAACTGAAGAAATTTTTAATAATTTACGATTGAAAAAAAAACAACGAAACTTTTCCTTCATGAATTTGGATATTAAATTCTTTGTTCTATTTTCTAAATTTCAGTAATACACATAAACGACACTTAAGAATGATCGAAACAGTTATCTAATGGATGAAATAACTTATACTAATGTTAAATTAATTAATGAATTACTGAAAACATATGTTTATTATTTGCTTATCAGAAGTTTTGTAGCTAAATAACTTTTATTTTAATTAATTATTTTAGAGGAATCGTTTTTTTCTTCTTGAATGAATAAATTAGTTCTTTTTTAGAATAAATAAAGTAAATAGTAATAAATTTTTAAACAATTTACAAAAACACTCAAAAAACTGAATATTTTTTCATTCTTTTTTCAACGTTATATTTAAATTAATAGTGAAAATGCGATATATTGCTTACAAATTTCTTTATGAAATTATCAGATAAAAGTTATCAAAAAGAAAGCAAAAAAAAGAGCTTTGTGATGAAAAATTATATTAGCAAAATGTAAATATGAAGTGATTTTAACTGCAATTTTTTTTTTTTTTTCATTATTGCAAAAATGACTGAAATTAGAAAGTACAGAAAAAAAGAGAAAGAAGAAAACTGAGAATAAAAATGCAAATAAAATGGCAGTTTTGATGGCATTTTTGTTTGGTTTAATTGGATGAAATGGATGAATTAGATTTACTTTTCTTAAATGTTAAATGTGATTGAAGTAATAGAAGAAAGAAAGAGAGAAAGAAGGAAAGAATAGAACTTTTTCTTATATCATTTTTGGATTTTGTTAAAGGCGAATATAAGGATGAGACGAGAAAAAAAAATAATTTGAATGTTTCAGTTTCTTTTAGCTTTCATTTCTTACTTTTTAGAAGTATTATTCCTTCAATTAATAGTAATTTTAATTTTATATTGCGAATAAAATTGTTATGAAGGAATAAATCTGTAATAAAATGGAAATGGAAAATTTATATTTAGAGCATATATGTATGAAAAAATTTTCATTGCTTAATCTTTCATTTTTATTCGTGGTTAATGTTTAATTTGAACGGATATGCATGTGGAACTTTGCATTTTGATTCGATTTGTGATATTTGAATTATTATTTCATAAATGTTAAATTAGTTATACATAATCATGTTATTGCTTTTAACTAATTATTAATTCGTAATATTAATTATTAATCACTTGGAAAGTTATTTGATTTGATTTTGCTACAATTTAATATTTGAATTATAATTTCATAAATATTAAATTAGTTATACATAACCATGTTATTGCTTTTAATTAATTATTAATTTGTAATATTAATTATTAATCACTTGGAAAGTTATTTGATTTGATTTTGCCACAATTTAATATTTGAATTATTATTTCATAAATGTTGGAAGTAATTATCGCTTGTACTTAAAACCATTAATCGATAATTAATAATATTTGCAATTAACAATCATTAATCATAAAATCACTGGGAATGATAATTTGAGTTTTTTTTTTTTCATTTAAAATAAGTAATTTCATTTCTTGTTTTTAGCATACCTTTAACTGTTATTATCACATGTTTAACTGATAAAAGTACTGTTAAAACTTATCAATATGACTGATCAAAAAAAACAAGGTAACACATATAAGCATTTTACTATTTCTTTACTAAATTTAAAAATTCATTTCTCCTTACTTAAACAGTTATTCCATTATTCCATCATTTTATTTTATACCTTTACTGATTTTCTACAAATTAAAAATTATTTCAAACTTATCAAACTGTCATTGCTTTTTGAAGTTGTAAATAAAAAGGAGAAAATTGAAATGTTTCTATCTATTTAATTATTAAATGACAAGTCAAATTAATTTCTTTCCATCATTTTCTTCTCTTATAATTAATTTATTAAGTTTTTCTCTAATTAAAATCTTCATTATGAGTTTTTCCTTCACTGCTCTGCTCCTCATCTAATTAATTCTCTCTCTCTCTCTCTCTCTTCTAATTAACTTTAGAAGAAACCTAATTCTCCTCAATCACTTTGCAAATTATCACTAATTCATTAATTTAAATGTGAAATAATTAAGATTTAATGAAAACAATTGAACTATAAATGTAAATATGCATTTGAAAAAAGAAAAAAACGATATAGAAACAGACAAAAAAAATGTGGGCGGTAAGAGGTCGAGAAGAGGAGAAAGACATGGTGTATATATATGGGGCGGTAAGAGGTCGAGAAGAGGAGAAAGACATGGTGTATATATATGGGGCGGTAAGAGGTCGAGAAGAGGAGAAAGACATGGTGTATATATATGGGGCGGTAAGAGGTCGAGAAGAGGAGAAAGACATGGTGTATATATATGGGGCGGTAAGAGGTCGAGAAGAGGAAAAGGAAAGAAAAGGAGAGGAAAGGGAAGGAAAAAAAAGGAAATACGAAGAGTCCCAGTTTTTCTATTTCTTCAATAAATTGGGATTGAGTGGTGGAGGAGAAAGTATTATTGGATTGCATAAAAGGATGGGTGGATGAGAAGGAAGAGGAAAAGAGGAAGGAATTAGAGTTTGTGATGTGAATGAAAAAGAAGGCTTTTCCTTCCTTCTTCCTCCTTCCTCCTCCCTCCTTCCTCTTTCCTTCTTCCTCCTTCCTCCTTCCTCCTTCCTCCTCCCTCCTTCCTCTTTTCTTCTTCCTCCTTCCTCCTTCCTCCTTCCTCTTTCCTTTTTCCTCCTTCCTCTTTCCTCCTTCCTCCTTGCTCCTTCCTCCTTCCTTCTCCATTTTCATTTTCTTCTTCATCCACTGAAATCTATCGCTGCCGTAGTTCTTTCTGTTTTTACAAATTGAATTAAATTAATGCTTAAAATAAACGAGGAAATTAATTACTCGTTTATTGTTCCATTTTTTTAATTTTGTTATCGTATTTCATTTGTTAGCATATATTAGAATTTTGATAGTGCAAGTTTAATTAATTAATTATTTCGTGGACTAATTATTTCAAAAGACTTCTTATTTTATATTATAAATGTTTTAAATATTTGAATAAATTATTGGTAGACTGTGTGTATGTCTGGTCTGTCTGTCTGTCTGTCTATGTATGTGGAATAAATCGATAAAAAATTTTTGACTGAATGAATAAGCTTTGGCCTAAAATATTTAGGCTTAGGTATCAAAAATAAATCATTTATTGTGTTATATGTGCTGCAAAAAGGAAACGTGACACTATATCACTTGTCACACACACACACATACACACACACACATACACACACACACATACACACCTACACACACACACACACACACACATACACACACACATACACACACACACACACATACACACACATACACACACACACACACACACACACATACACACACACACATACACACACACACACACACATACACACACACACACACACACACACACATACACACACACACATACACACACACACACACACAAATATCATCTGGTGGTGTCGTAAGTGAATTATATTGTGTCACGTGTACCACGTCATTATTATACATTGTTATTATCCTTAGATAAAATAGCCTTGAGAATATGTGAAATTTTTGAGTTTATTAATAAATCATTAAGGTATCCATCGAGTTACTGAAGTGAAAACAATACGTAAGGCTATAATATATAATATACGTTACGTGTAAAGGTGAGTCAAAATGATGAGAGAATGTTGAAAGAGATAAGGTGGGATATGCTTTGAATTATGTTAAGTTTGTGAAAGACAGAGCTAGCATCTCATCTTTACATTTATTTCTTCTGTTTGCTTGAATTATTATTATTACATTTGACATTACGATTATTTGTATGATATTATAACCACTGTCGTTATTATTATTATTATTATTATTATTATTATTATTATTATTATTATTATTATTATTATTATTATTATTATTATTATTTATTATTTATTATTATTATTATTACTATTAATTTACTATAATTAATGTTTAGTAATATAACGATAGTAATTTGATAATAACAAATTACTGATGCATTATTTGTTCTTCAAATAATTTAATTTAATATTGCATTATTTGTTGCAGATAAAGATTAATAAGAAGGGAAGAAAAAAAAATTAGAACGTTTGTTTGGATGTTTCAAAATTTTGACTCTAAGTACTTACCTAGTTAAGGATTTAACACGAAAGCACTTTAGATTAATTAAGGGTCTAACATTAACATTTTAGCATTAGAGGAAGGAGGAAAGGTTTTTAAAAATTTCATCATAAAGAGGAAGATTTTTAAACTTATCTTTTGAATAACTCTGATGAGTCATTTACTATTTTGACCAGAAAAAAATTAATTGATATTACTACGACTGCTGAGAAATTTCAAAATGATTAATTAGAAAGACTTGATAAATTACTCTCTTCTTTCTTTCTTTTTCTTTTGCCGAGATTATTATATTAATTATATATATATATCAATAGACTATATGTAATTATTTATTAGAAATATTAGTCTTATAAATATTTAAACAGTTAAATTTTTAATAAATTAATTCGTCTTCTCTCCTTTGCCGTATTTCTCTTTTTCCCTTAATTTTCAGTATTATTTCGTATTTATTTTGTATACTTTGTGGAACAAATTTTTTTTTTTTTCATTTTCAAATGTATTCTCTCTATATTTTAGCTAATAAAATTCATTCATTTTGTTACCAAAATAGGAATTGTTGTTTACTGGAGTGAATTATTCAGCGTATTCATTTCTATTTACTCAAATCTTTTAATCAACTATTAAATCTTCTCTCTCTCTCTCTCTCTCTCTCTCTTTTCTTCCTTCCTTTCTTCATTTTATTTTCTCTCTCATCTTATCTCTCAGTTTCCCATCTTTTTTTTCATTTAAAAAAAAACTTTTTATGTTATATTTGAACTGGTTGTAGTAGTATTCCGTTAATACGTGTAATATTCGTCAATTGCACGCATTACGCGTGTCTCCGTGTAATGCATTAGTAACAATACTGAAATCAAAATTTAATAAATTCACATTTCAAAACAGTATTTGTTCATTTTATTCATTTTTCACCCAAACATTCCTTCTGCTACTATGTCACACGGCATGGAAAGTATCATAGAAAAAAACAAGAGGTCAAATGACATTGCTATTATTTGAAGAGAAACGTTTTATTATTGTTATTACTATTATTATTTATTTATTTATTATTAATATTATTTTCACTATCATTATGCTTATTATTATTATTATTATTATTATTATTATTATTATTATTACTGTTATCATTAAATTATTATTATTTAATATCAGTTATATTTATAATTCTAAAATAATATTTAATCTATTGTTTACCTTCATTTTCCATTTTATTAATTAATTAATTAATTAATTAATCAACATGCTACTACATATCAATTAATGGTTATAAATCACTGTCCCAATGTATGAATTAATTTAACAATTAATCAATGTTTTCTGGTATATCAATTAATCAATATATTCCAATGCGAATTGAATATGAAACAAAATGAATAAAACAAATAATTATCGTTTAGGCTTTTTTTTAATTACGCGTAATATCAGTACAGAAATTTATTAACAAATATATATATATAAGTTAATCACTTTTGACTTTATTCTTATTTTTTGAATTTACTTTTCATCTTTTTTTATTGTTTTACATTCATCTGAATTATCTTTATATGATGCAAAGTTATATATTTGTAAATTCTTAATAATTTGTGAAGTATTAGTGAATTGTCATTCAAAAATTGCTCCAAATATTTCTAACAATTACTTACTCATTCACTCGATCATTCAATCAATCAATCAATCAGTCAGTCAGTCAGTCGATCAATCAGTCAATCGGTCAGTTAAATGAAATGATGAAATTTGAGTGTGTGAAGTTACTGTCATCTTTGAATTTTGTTTGCAATTCATCAAAGCGATCACTTCACCAATCATTTTGAACTTTATAAATTTCTCAAAAACTTTTTTTTTTCAATAAGAAAAAAAAAAAGAAACAAAAATGGAAGACGAAAAAAAAAAAGACATCTGCTAATTCATTATCATCGAAGCAGAAATAAAAAATTGAACTGGCATCTATTATCATCTACTGGAATAATTCCATCAATACATTAAGTATGATTTTCTTGTCTTGTCTTTTACTTTTGTTTGAGAAAAGAAAATGAAATTAAATTCATTTTTGAAGATTATTACGAAAAAATGATTATTTTTTTTTTAAAAAAAAAGCACGCAGAATTTAAATATAATATTTGCAGTAAGAAACAAATTTATTAACAAGATTTTATTAGAAAAAAAATTTTAGTATTTTAAAAAAAAAATAAAATAAGCTTTGATTTTTTTTTTGTAAAAAAAAAATATATTACATTCTTAATTTCTCATATATTTCAAAATTGAAAATACAATTTTTTAGTTGAAATTGTGCAATACTAATGAATTACATACTATGTTTGGTCATTATTCAAGTTATTAATTTTCTGTTTAATATACCTCTTTCTAATGAATATTTTTCTCTTTTTGTCCCACTCTCTTGTACCATTCATAATTTATTGATTGAAAGTAATATGAAATATTATTTGATTTTATAAATTGCAAAAAAACAAAATTAAATTTTGAAATTAATTGATTTCATTTTATGTTTTATTTCACGATTTTTTCCCTTTTTTTTCACATCACACAACTATTTCATATTATCGTTATCATTAATTTAATTTAATTTAATTGACAGTAATTTTATTCGTTCTCTTCAGAAAATCTTTGAACTCCTCTCTCTCTCTCTCTCCCTCTCTCTCTTTCTCTTTCTCTTTCTCTCCCCATCTTTGTTAAGAAATGATGGCAAGGAAGATATTCAAATTCCACTCGCTTTTTTATGTAACCTTGAGGATGATGTAAACATTATTGCCCCTGCCCCCCTGTCGTCACTCTACTTTTCTTTCTCGTCCTTCCCTTTCACCACGCTTCTCCGCGTCTCTTCCTCCCGTGTCTCTTTCACGCGTCTCTTCATCCCATGTCTCTCCCACACGTCCCTTCCTCCCGTGTCTCTTTCACGCGTCTCTTCATCCCATGTCTCTCCCACACGTCTCTTCCTCCCGTGTCTCTTTCACGCGTCTCTTCCTCCCGTGTCTCTTTCACGCGTCTCTTCATCCCATGTCTCTCCCACACGTCTCTTCCTCCCGTGTCTCTTTCACGCGTCTCTTCATCCCATGTCTCTCCCACACGTCTCTTCCTCCCGTGTCTCTTTCACGCGTCTCTTCATCCCATGTCTCTCCCACACGTCTCTTCCTCCCGTGTCTCTTTCACGCGTCTCTTCATCCCATGTCTCTCCCACACGTCTCTTCCTCCCGTGTCTCTTTCACGCGTCTCTTCACATTCCCATCCGTTTCTCATTTTTCATTTTCTTGTCCAACACCAATTGATGATGGCTCTAATCCAATGTCTTTCTGTCGTAACATTACGCATTAGAATTATATCAACCGAAATAGGCCATTTTAATTTACTTTTTACAATTTAAAAAAAAAAAAAAAAAG